AGGAAATTCTTAAGGCCGGCCGGTGGCGCTCGCCCGCTTCTGCAACGCATCAACGCTCAAGACCTTGAGTCTGGCGCTGTATTAGAGATGTGCTGCGCCGCGCTGTCGGGCGGTCCACTATGCACGCGTCATCCGCAGGCGCATCAAATCTTCCCCCGTTTCATGCGTCTCGGCGGCGCAGCAAGCCGCAACGCACCGGGGCATCCTCCGCCTGGGACGTCCGTGTGGTTTCGTGCCTTGCCTGGCCCCTGCAGGCGCATGCAGCATGGGGTGGTGCGCTTCGGGGGGGGGCGCCGCCCGAGCCACTAGGGCCACGGTCTGGCGTCGGGTTATTCGCGCCCCTGGCGTTAGTGCGACGCGCGTCAAGGCGAGGCCCGCGGCGCCGCACCCGATGTCTGGGGAGCAGCATCCCCCTGGGCCGCGGAGCGGGCCCTGGCTCCCGTGCCTTCCCACGGCAATCGGGGCAGGCATTTGTGATGAGCACACACAAAGCAGACACAGTGCTCGCATGTTGCAGCGTTTGTGCGCTGGCACTAATGCTGTTCCTGCGTCTGCCCTGCTCCCCTGCGCCCAACTCGTACATGGGACGGGGGGGGGTCGGGGTGTTGGGCCGTGGGGAAGGGCTGTGTGCTGGTGCTGCTCTGCTTGTGGCCTACCGCACTCTCGTCCGCGGTCCGCCCATGTGCGGCCGCTGGCCTCTTGGTCAAGCAGCGGTGTAGGCGGGGGTGGCCGTCTCTCCGCTGCCGTCTGGTCCGCCGTGCGCGGCTGTGTGCGTTCGGCGTTCGCTTCTTTGGCTCGGGGCCCCCGTGTGGCACTTTGTGCGCATGCTGCCCATGTGTGGCCGCGTGCTGCGGTTTGTCCCGACCAGCCCGCGCCCTGGGTTTTTTCGCGCCCCTGGCGTTTCGCACGTCGTTGCGACGCGCATCAAGGCGACGCTCGTGGCGCCGCACCCCATGTCTGGGGAGCGGCGTTCCCCTGGGCCGCAAAGCGGGCCCTGGTGTCCCCGTACCTTCCCACGGCACGCGGGGCACGCATGTGTGAAGTGAGCCTGCGTCATCAGTACCAGTCGTATTATACAATTTCCGTTGGCTAGAAAGACAAAGTGCGACAGCAGTATCGCTGAAACTTCGGCAACGCGCCCGCATTACTCACCCTAGGTATATGGTGGATGATGTTGGCAAAAAGGGTCTCGCATTAGCGCCGCGCACGTTCGTCTCACGTACTTGCAACACTTACATCGATGGGTGGGGACACTTTCTTTTGAACATGAGGCTCTCACTTAAACTTCTTCATTTTTAAATCAAGAAGTCTCAACGCTACATGCAATTATGGACGGCGGTTAATTGTCACAACGGTGGTCCGTATTGATGTTCCTTCGAAGTGCATGGCCAGACATGTAAGCTTGGGCAACAATGCAACGGGTGGGAGGCGTCCCTTTTCTTTTCTAAAAACTGGGATATCGCTGGACACCTCGCTGCAGTGTATGATCATACCTTTTCGGATTCCTGGTTACGCACCCGAAGGATGCAAGTCTGCTCTTGTTACACATTTTACAAACAGGCCTCTCGCCTGATAGGGTGCTGGTTTATCAAGACGGCGCGTCTTGCAGTGAATAAGAAGGCGTGTAAGGATTTCTGAAGAGGGGGCTTGGGACGGGAGGGTGTATTCCAGCATCACTGCTTCATCTCGTATTTCGGCCAAGCTGTGGTCTATGGAGGACGGAGGGGCCAGGGGCCCGCGCCGATCGGCGAAACAATAATAGTAAAAAAAACGTGTCAGGATGCTCTCCTCCTGATCCTCCTGGTCATCCGACAACGTCGAAATGCTGATCCGCCCCGCGCCAACACCCCCGGGCAACGGCCTGCGCGTGCTGCCCGTGCGGTCCGTGGCCGTGCGCCAGGTCGCGCGTGGTGGGCCGGCTCATCGCAACCGGTCGCGGGGCGCCTGCTCATTGTCGTCGCTTTTCGTCGCTGTCGAAGTCGCCTCCTGGGGCAAATCATTTCTGGGCGGTGTCCTCGATTGGTGACGAGGCCCCAAAGAAAGGGTGACGGCTCACTAACCTCCCTCTGGACGCATCGGGCCAGGAGGCCCGCTCAGGGGGAAGCTCATGCTTGACAAGGCGGGCGAGAGCCTCCTCCTCGTTGGCCTCCTGCTCCTTCCCCCTCTCCTTTTCACAACTTCTTTCCCCGCCTCCGCCTTGACCAACGCCCGCGCCCACGCTGCTGGCGCGCCGAGGCGGCACGGGCGCTCTGGTTCCCTGGGTGTGGCTCCAGCCGGCTGGGGCTTCGGAGGTCTGTGGCGCTGAGAAGCGTGGCCCTATTCGAACACGGCCTCACAATGGACCAACGCATGAGCCTTGGGCCCGTCCGTGCCCTAATCGGAACTGCTCTTGCTTTAAGTCCTTCCACATGATTAGGTAGCACGGCGGATCTAAGAGCAAGGAGGATGAGGATGGGAAGGGCATTGGAAAATCGGCGGCGCCGCAGGACCTGGAAGACTACCGGGGTAACACAGCTTCAGCATACTACCCACTCTTGCCAAAAGGGGGGAGGGGCTTCGGCAGCCCCCCCCCCTCCCCCTGCAAAGCCAGGCCCGCTTGTGAAGCCCGCGGTCCCGTTTTGAATAAGAGAATTCGGAACAACACCCTCCCCATACTGTTTGATCCGTGTTGCGAGCCTTGCGAGGCGGGCGGTCCGACGACCAGCTGGCTGGAAACACCGTCGTTGTTCCCAGTCCCAAAGCGTTGGGTTCTCGTTTGGAATCGAGCGTCGCGTTTCCCTGGGTGGGTACAGTAGGAGCTCGACCACAAGAAACCTTCCACAAGAAACCCAACCCTGGAACCCCTGGATTTCATCGATTTTCGGCATGGGAACGTCACGTTCTCCGTGGCAGAACCATCGAAACAGAAGAAACCCAAGGAGCCCCAGAGGCAAGCAGGGTGTCTCTTGGCATAGGCTTCCACTGAACTGCCAACAGCGCAACCGTCGCAAGTTTCTTGGGCCCCCTGGAGCTCCAGCGGCGTGGTGCATTATAACGCAAGCCAGAACGATACCGCGTCCTCCCTGCGCGCTGCCAACCGCGCAACCGTCGCCGATTGCGTGGGTGGCCCACATGAAACGCTCGCCATCGCTCGGACGTCCATTCCCCGTGCGTTATTCGGTGTCGGGCGTTTTGTTTCCGCAGGATCATCCACAATGCTCCTCGCCGGGGAAAGATGCACACGTTCGAACGATGCAACGTCGCCAGATCTGAGTGAGACCTCGCCCTCCCGTGGAACTGCCAACTGCGCAACTGTCCCCACTTTCGCGGGCCCCTGAACGGTCCATCGGAGTGGTGAACCACATGCAGATCATAGTGATGCCTCGACCTCCCCCGATGCTGCACACCGCTCAACTGTCGCCACTTTCGTGGGCCCCTGGGAGGCCCAGTTGAGTGATGCATCGCGCAAATCAGAATGATACCTTGCCCTCCCTGGGTGCGGCCAACTGCGCATTTGTTGCCACTGCCGTGACCCCCCTGGAAGGTACAGCGGAGTGATATCCTCTGCAGATCAGAATGGGACGTTGCCCTCTATGGGTGCTGCCAACTGCGCAACTGGCGCCGCTGGAGCTCCAAGTGGGAGCTCCAGCGGAGCGGTGACCTGCGAAGGTCAAAATGATACCTCGCCCTCCCTGGGCGCTGCCGACTGCGAAGCTGCTACCGCTGTCGTGAACCCCCTGGGAAGTCCAATGGAATACTGTCCTGTGCGGGTTCAAATGGAACCTCGCCCTTCCAAGGTGCTGCCAACTGTGCATCTGTCACCTTCCGCGCTCGGTCTGCCGACCTTCCGTGCGTCGACCTTGGTATACCCTCATCCCTTCACTTCCCCCTGTACGCCCCTCACCTCCTACCACCCTCGACCTTCTTCCACGACCTTCCGTCTCGTGCATCATACTGGTCATCGGTGCCGTTCCATCTTCTCCATTGCTTGTCGCTGTCCACGGTGATGCCCCACTCGTATGTTCCCCGAGACTCGTGGAACAAATGAGACCCCATGCAAACTTCACGACAAAACGCATGCCTTGTTATGTCACCATCCGTAAACATTTGAACATTGCGATGGCCACGTGTTGCAGATGGGTGAGGCATGTCTGCAAGGTAAGCTCCATGTCCCTTCAAACATCGCCTCTTCACCGAGCGAAGCCGACATGAGAATTCTGTCTCTCGCCATGTCGGGCTCCACACGGCGCAGGCGTTGCAGGGCGTAGGTGCGTTAAGATCACTCCGCCTTCATAACCAAGCCATGCCAATGCGACGTCTACATGTTTCAATATTTCCCTCCGTCTTGCGCTGTGCGCAGCGCGAGCGTTACAGAGAACATGCTTGTACTGGTTTTCCTGTCCACCGCATTGCCACAGATCCTGCGCGGCGCACGATTTGCGGGTCGCAGGCTTGCAGTTGTTCTTCCTGCCCCCATGGCCTCGCGCTCTGCACGGCGCGCGCGTTGCAGGGCGCAGGACGTAGGGGGTGGGGGCTTCGACTCCGTGGCGACCGCGGGGGACGAGGTAGCTTCCGTCTGGCGGACAAGGAGGGGGGGATGAGGGGCTTCGGGCCAGGTTGTCCAAAAGGGGGGGTAACTTCCGTCTGGCGGAGAAGGAAAGAGGGGAGGGAGTGGGAGGGGTCTTCGGGCCGATGACGGCCGAAGGGGGAAGGGGATACCCAGGCAAGAAGGGGAAGGGAGGGGGCAGGGGGATGCGCGGGGGGCACCCTTTCGGTGTGGCTTCCGTGGGCTGGGGGGTCAGAGGGGACGGGGGAGCTTCTGACCGAGGATGCCCCAAAGGAAGGGGGGTCCCAAAGGGGGGGGCCGCCTTGGTCGGGTCCCCAGAGCGCGCTTTCTTGCAGGAAAGCGGGAGGTGGAGGGGAAGAGAAGGAGAAGCCATGAAAGAAGGATGAGGAAGGGGAGTAGAATGAGAAATGGGAGTAGGAGAGCGAAAGGAGTCCCATTTATAGGCTCCCGCAGCCGTTCGTCGAGCGGCACGCGTAGCAGCTGGTATTCGGAGGGCCTCCGGATGTCGAACCGTTCGTTCCTGAGGTTGCTCACGTGAGGGTCGTCGTGCACGCTGGCGGAGTCGGACGCTGGAGCTGATGTCTGGAGGGTTCCAAAGCGGGTTGGCGCAGAAGGGTTTGGCACAGCTCCTTCAGGTGACAGTCGTTTTGCAACCATCGAGACAGGGGTCAAACGCAGTGTGCCGGGTTCAATCCCCTCTGCGCCACTCGCATGTCAGGACCCTCCAGGATGAGCCGAAGTCGTGGATTGGCGCTGGGCCAATCGAGCCAGGCGCCTGCGCGGCGGGCGCCATCTGCGCAGGCGCCTGCGCGGCGGACGCGACCTTTGCGAGCGACGGCGGTCCAAGCGAATCGAGCTCGGACTCGCGAAAGCGAGCTATCCGATGCCCCGATCCGAGCAACAAGCCTCCCGCCCTCCTCCGAACGAGACCGCCCACGGCACGAATTCCACACGAACGATGCGGTCGAGTGTGATCCGAAATCCATAGATTTGGACAAACAACTGGGAACATACCAAGCCCATCCGAATCATTGTCCCAGACAAGTGGTATCGTACCAAACGGATGATGCCATGAAAAAACGCTGTCATTTGTGAACGCCACATTGGGGGCAAACGCGTTGGACGCCTCCCGACAGGATTGAGACAATACCGAAGGATATGGCATAAGGGAGACAGAAGGACCGCGGACGGGAATACGGGGGAGTGTGAGAACGAGGGAGGGCGAGGCACATGATATCAATTGGTGACGCCGAGGAAGAGGAGGATGCCATGGAATGTGAGGACGAGCGGGCTTTCGCCACCCACGCCACTCTCTGGACGGCAGCTCGATCTGCTGGACGACACCACTCCTCTGCACGCCCCAGGAAAAGACCAACGAAAGTGGCGACGTTTGCGCAATGATCAGCGCCCGAAAACGGCGGGATTCCAGGTGAACATGCGTAAGACACACCTTCGCTGGCAACCACAACTTGCGACATACGCGCAGCTGGTAGCCTCCCAGGGAGGACGGGGCCTTATTTCGGATCTGCGGAAACATAATCCCGCTGGCCCTCCGATCACCCCACGAAAGCAGCGACAGTGGCGCAGTTGACATCGCCCAGAAAATCCCAAGTTTCACAAAGATCTGCGTGAAGCGTCGTTCCGCTTGAACTCGCAAAAGCACACCAAACTGAGATCAGTAGCGTAGTTGGCGGACCCCAACGAGTGGGACACCACTCCGCAGGGTTTCCTGGGGCACACCAGAATGGCCACGGTTGCGCAATAAGCAACGCCATTGGGCCTCCCAGGGCCACGCGGAAATGGCGGAGGCTGCGCAGCTGGCAGCACCGAGGGGTGCGACGGCTCATGTGGGTCTGCGAAGGGCACCGCTCCACTGGGCGTCCCAGGAACACACCAGAGGCGCGACGGTGGCGCCACTTGCAGCACCCAGGGGGGGCGTGGTTTCACCTGGAACTGCGCAAGACGCATGCCCGCTGGGTGTGCCAAAAGCCCTCGATGTGGCGACAGACGCCAAGTCGGCAGCAACCATGGAAGCGAGGTCTGGTTTGTTGCATCTGCGCGGGCCACCTCTCCGCTGGGTCAAAACGGGGGCACACCAACCTTGATGGCACGTCTACAGTTAGCGCCCCCCCGGGACGGCTCATTAGGGTCTGCACAGGATACCACTCTGCTGGGCCTCCACAGAAGGACGCCAACATGGCGACACGTGCGCGGAGCTGGCAACACTTAGAGACGCGAGGTAAGAGACGTGGTAGAAGACTGGTAATCTGTCGGAGGCAAGTGGAACATAGGATGCAGGAGGAGAAGGCAAGGAGGCCGGGACACATAGTGGCGGACTGTGTCTGCACTGCACCTGCAAGCAAAAACGCAAAGGAGGGTCCTCGATGTCCGCATGCGATCTGGGGTGAACCATCCTCCCGTCCCGCAGGCGTTTTCAGAACAGCGGCCTGCCAAGCAGGAGAGCACCGTGCAAGAATTGCCTTAAACGGGGACGTGGCGAGGTTCCAAAGGACCATGGCCTCAGGCGGCGAAGCTCAGGATGCAAGAAGTTCGCCCAATGTTTCTGGCAGGACATCGTACAATGAAAGCCCGTGCAAGCATAAGCTGGGTCGGCGGAAGGCGCCCACGGGGTTCCTCTGTAGGGCGCGCCTCCCTGGCAGAGCCCACGCGCAGAAGAGCACCCGAGGCATGGCGGAACAAAAGCGGTGCAGTGTGAAGGCGGTGGAGCTGAAGGCGGAACAATATTAAGTCCGAGGGGCGTAAGGTTTTCCGAGACCGTCCGGCGCAAAGAGCAGACAAATTACTTCCAGCTCGAATTCGTAACAGAACCAGCACACATGTGGGCAGCCGCGCCCGTCGCGAAATCAATCCCTCATGCCGTACGCTGGAACGCGTGGGCGCAGAAAGACAAGGCCAACATATTCTCACCGCGTTGCGGGAACGGCGGCGCGACTGTGGCCCATAATTCACAACGTGCGCGGCAAGAGGAGGAGGGAAAAAGGAGGACAACTAACTGGCGAATGATACGGAGTTCGCCTGGAACGCATCGGGCCGAAAGTTGCAACCAGGACGACAATGCGCTGGGCACCACTTGCAATATACGTTTTCAAAAATAGCAGAATGCTAGGTGGTGATCGGGTCCGTCAACATGTTTTGCACTGTGTGCAGCAATGCTTCGCCAGTCGGTGGGGTCCTGCAAGCGCTGCGGCCAAGTATTTTCCAGGCCAGGATGAACAATCGAAGCCTTATGTAGACATTTCGCCCATTCATGTTTGGGTCAACCACCCCCCTCTCTGGTGCGCATCCACGGCTGAAAGAACGGTGCCAGACTGAACAGTTAGCACCGAAAAGACTCTGCACCCTACGGCCCGGCAAATCTTGCCGAACAGCAGTAGATGTTGTAGCACCCAAATATGTCGTGCTGTGTCTTCGGTAAGAAACTATCCAACCGGCGTCCTCAACGTCGCGTCGATGTTGATCTTGATCATCTGGATTTTGTCCCAGTGCAGCTCCATACCAACCCTGAGCAGCGAGTCGTCGGCGCACAGCAGCACCGACAGATTTCCAGGAACCACATCGAGCTTGTCACTGTCGCTGAGGTTGTTCACGGCTTCCCGCAAGACCACAATCACCAGCATGTTGGGGAACAAAAAAGCGACATCAGATACTTTTTTGAAACTCCAACCATTTTCTTGCTTTTGGAAGATTTGATCGCCCCGCCGGCTACACAAAATCGCCTGGCCTCGTAAATTGTCCCCATCAGCGTGAGCATGTTCAGGGGTACCCCAAAGCGGCGCAGAGCTGCCAACATTGCTTCGGCGTTTATGGAACCAGATGTTTTTTTCCCAGTCCAGCGCAGCACATGTACCCCAACCGTCTTTCCTAGCGTGTGCGAACTCGATGTGACGGCGTACTGCGTTAATGGCATCCGTTATGCCTTCCCCACGGTGGAAGCCGCATTGAATTTGGGTCAACCGGTCGTCTGCCCATGCCTGTTGTAGACGATGTTATCGGAGGCGGGCCAAGAGTTTGTACGCCACGCATAGTAAACTAATTGGCCGGTAATTCTCACCCATGTAGATCGGGCCCTTATTCTGATATATTGTGCCCACCGTGGCATGCCGCCATGCTTCTGGAACTCTACGCTCCGCCCCCGTCGCGAACATGATGTGCAAACGAACATGTGACCAAGTGACCAAGCTCAGACCAGCGGGGAGAGAGAACGTTGTTGGGGGGCTTCTGACGCTTGTGGACGACCCAACGGTCTCACCGCAGAACAGATTGGGGGAGGAGACCGAGCTGCATGATGTAGGAGGGACCGGACGGTCCAACCCACGGGACGTGTCAACTCTTCTGGCTTGTACTACTTTGCCTTGCACTACACCTCATATGCACTATATCGACTGTGCCACGTCGATTGCACTACAAGGACGGCGCCAGGTACATTGCACTACATCGACTGCGCCAGCACAAATATGGAGCTGCAGCTACCAACTACACAACATAATCAATTGCACCACGTAGATTGCACTATATCGATTGTGCTGAAACAGATCGCGTAACCTGATGTGATCCACATAGGTTGCAGCGCATGTGAAGCACCACATGTGCCACGCCGCATTTGGGGTGCACGCTGGAATCACGTCGGAAGGAAACGCACGGGTGTGCAGTGTACACTTTGGCGCCTGCTCATGCGCGGAACAGGAGAGGCCTTGGCCTCAAAGCTCGCAGCGGGCGACGAGCAGCTACAGCAAGAACGTACGAACACCTATCTTGCTGTTAAGAAATCATGGGCCGCATGATTCGTCGATGTTTGAAGGCCCCAAGGTGCCCCAAAACTTATGTGGCCCCCCCAGGGCCATCGGGGGGCAAGAAACTTCCATGGGGCACCTGCTGGCAGACCAGTTTCTTATGTATTTGATGTGCCTAGTGTAAGCGAGGACGCCTTGTCCCCCCGTTGCCCATGCAAGCGCAGCTGCTAGATGGGAAAGAAGAGGAGGAAGAGGAGGAGGAGGAGGAGGAGGAGGAGAAGCGAACGATGCAGCGGAGGAGGAGGAGGAGGACGAGGAGGTGGAGGAGAAGGAGGAAGTGGACAAGGAGGACGACGAAGAGGGAGCCTCGATCGCTTGCCCGTATGATTTCTCCAAGCCATGCAGACCTGAAAGCGCCTCCTCCCTAGCGAATCGAAACGATCATCTGCATCATGCGGGTCCTGGTCAGACAGCCCGGATCGCCAGACGCTGAGCAACACTGAGCACCCAACTTGTGCCGCCGGCGCCGCCGTGGGAGAGGCTGTTGGTTTTGTGGTCGGCTCCGCCGTGGGTCCTTTGGTGGGAGCCGAAGTGGGCTTTGCCGTTGGCGAAGCAGTAGGTCCTGCGGTTGGCGTCTCCGTGGGCGAGGCCGTGGGTGCTGCGGTCGGCGCCGCAGTAGGCGAAGCTGTGGGTCCCGCAGTTGGGGCCCCCGTCGGCGAAGACGTCGGTGCCGGGGAAGGCGCCGCAGTAGGCGAGGCCGTCGGCCCTGCAGTAGGCGAGGCCGTCGGTGCCACTGTCGGCTCAGCCGTGGGTGCTGCAGTCGGCGACGGAGTGGGGGAAGCCGTCGGCACGGCGGTCGGCGCCGCAGTAGGCGAGTCCGTCGGCGCAACAGTGGGCGCCGCCGTGGGCGAGGCCGTGGGCGAAGCCGTGGGCGAGAACGTGGGCGAAGTTGTCGGCGTCGCCGTGGGAGAGGCCGTGGGCGAGGCCGTCGGATAGGGCGTCGGAAAGGCCGTCGGGAAAGCTGTCGGGTAGGGCGTCGGGAAGCCAGTTGGGAAGGGCGTCGGCAAGGCTGTGGGGTAGGGCGTTGGGAATGCCGATGGGAAGGGCGTCGGGAAGGGTGTCGGGAAAAGTGTTGGGAAGGATGTCGGGAACGCCGTCGGGTAGGGTGTCGGGAAGGCCGACGGGAAAGGAGTCGGGAAGGGCGTCGGCGCCGCTGTCGGCGCCGCCGTGGGCGAAGCCGTGGGGGAACCCGTGGGCGAGGCCGTCGGGAAAGGCGTCGGAAAGGCCGTCGGGAAAACTGTCGGGTAGGGCGTCGGGAAACCAGTTGGGAATGGCGTCGGCAAGGCAGTTGGGTAGGGCGTCGGGAATGCCGATGGGAAGGGCGTTGGGAAAAGTGTCGGGTAAGGCGTCGGGAAAGCAGTCGGGAAAAGTGTTGGAAAAGATGTCGGGAAAGCCGTCGGGTAGGGTGTCGGGAGAGGCGTCGGGTAAGGCGTCGGGAATGGTGTCGGGAATGGTGTCGGAAAAGGTGTCGGGAAGGGTGTCGGGAAGGCCGTCGGGTAGGGCGTGGGCGCAGCCGTGGGCGAGGCCGTCGGTGCTGCGGTCGGCACCGCTGTGGGCGAGGCCGTCGGCGAGGCCGTTGGTGCTGCGGTCGGTGCTGCGGTCGGTTCTGCAGTGGGCGCTGCCGTCGGCGAGGCCGAGGGCGAGGGCGTCGGTGCTGCAGTTGGCGCCTTCGTGGGCGAGGCCGAGGGCGAGGCGGTCGGTGCAGCGGTCGGTGCCGTCGTGGGCGAGGCCGAGGGCGAGGCAGTCGGTGCCGCGGTCGGCGTCTTCGTGGGCGAGGCCGTCGGTGCCGCGGTCGGCGCCTTCGTGGGCGAGGCCGAGGGTGAGGCCGTCGGTGCTGCGGTCGGCGCCTTCGTGGGCGAGGCCGAGGGCGAGGCCGTCGGTGCCGCGGTCGGCGCCTTCGTGGGCGAGGCCGAGGGCGAGGCCGTCGGTGCCGCGGTCGGCGCCTTCGTGGGCGAGGCCGAGGGCGAGGCCGTCGAGGCCGAGGGTGAGGCAGTCGGTGCCGCGGTCGGCGCTTTCGTGGGCGAGGCCGAGGGCGAGGCCGTCGGTGCCGCGGTCGGCGCCTTCGTGGGAGAGGCCGAGGGCGAGGCAGTCGGTGCCACGGTCGGCGCCGTCGTGGGCGAGGCCGAGGGCGAGGCAGTCGGTGCTGCGGTCGGCGTCTTCGTGGGCGAGGCCGTCGGTGCCGCGGTCGGCGCCTTCGTGGGCGAGGCCGACGGTGAGGCAGTCGGTGCCGCGGTCGGCGCCTTCGTGGGCGAGGCCGAGGGCGAGGACGTCGGTGCCGCGGTCGGCGCCTTCGTGGGAGAGGCCGAGGGCGAGGCAGTCGGTGCCGCGGTCGGCGCTTTCGTGGGCGAGGCCGAAGGCGAGGGCGTCGGTGCCACGGTCGGCGCCTTCGTGGGCGAGGCCGAGGGCGAGGGCGTCGGTGCCGCGGACGGCGCCTTCGTGGGCGAGGCCGAGGGCGAGGGCGTCGGTGCCGCGGACGGCGCCTTCGTGGGCGAGGCCGAGGGCGAGGCCGTCGGTGCCGCGGACGGCGCCTTCGTGGGCGAGGCCGAGGGTGAGGCAGTCGGTGCCGCGGTCGGCGCCTTCGTGGGCGAGGCCGAGGGCGAGGGCGTCGGTGCCACTGTCGGCGCTGCCGTGGGAAAAGGCGAAACATCCGGCGCAGTCGGTGCGACACCAGGTGAGAAGTCTGGTGCTACGGGCATCGGGTGACTCGGGGCAGCAGGCGTCGGCGCGCTGATGTCGGGCGGCGAGATCACCTTGGGAAACGACCGGTCGCTAGGTCAGGCGGTCCAGGCCCATCGGATCGGAATCTGACTCGCGCAAGAAATCCGATGACCAACTCCAAGCGCAAGATGACCTCCGTCTCCCCATCCCCTCGTGCCACTGGATACTCCAAGCCTCTCATGGATGAAGAGGGGGACAGACACTAGAGCGCTGCGTGGCGAACCACCCAGCCGACAATCCCCTGCGCCCTGGCGGCAACGGAATTGAGTCAGAACCTGCCTTGGCACCCCCTCGGACGCGCCGCGGCCGACCCTCCCTGGCACTCCAGAAGGGGGGATTATTCCACATCCAGAGCACAATCGGGGTTGATTGGAGAGGACACGCGAGAGAACACAAGACCCTTCTGATGGCCACATTGCCATAGGAATGTAAGAAGGCATCGGTCGCGAAGCACATTTCAAAAGGGTGCCCTTGAATTGGCAGGACCGACCTACTACTCAACCTCGACTGTAATGATTCCAGGGCCTCCTGGCCGACCCATCGTGCGAAACTGGCGGAACCAGCCCAGGGAGAGCGCCAGGGTCGGGCACTTGGGAAGACATTCCTGCTCCAATGCGTCCACCACTTATGAGCGTTCACGTCAGGAGTAGGGAAGAGGATCGGGCGGCGTCGATCGGACCAAACGCACCAATCGAGATTCAATGGATCCGAGGCGCACGACACCCACAGGCGTGGGCACGCGGAGTCGCAAGGTAACAAGTGGGACCGAGAACGGTCGAACGCAGCCGAGAACGAGCCTGGCAGTCGTGCATGAGCCGTGCGCACTAGCGCAAGAGAACCAACACCGCCCACGCATGCAAGTGCACCCATTGTTCACGCGGTAGCTTGCAATCCTCGCCTCGCCATACCAACACCCTCTTCCCTTTCTGCTTTCCACCTCGTGGCCTGCTTGGCATGGGCATGGTACAACTAATGATATACCCGATCTCTGCTCCCCGTTCCCCTCTCCATTCTTTTGGGGCTGGGCGGGACCCCCTCTAGCAAAGCACCTTGTAGTGAAAACGACCTGGGACCAGACCCAGTTGGCGCAGACTCAGAAACATGGGGCCGCAGCACCCTCTCGAGGGCCGAAAGAGGGACATTCGGTAGTCGACTTGGCAAGGTGTTTCTTCTGTCAACCTCCGATTATTCGCCTCCCCCATCCCTTTCCTCCATCTTTTCTTCCTCCTCCTACCGGGACCTTTGCTTTTCTGCAGCAGGCCCTGTTTTGTTTGTCCTGAGGGTGGAGGGGGGGAGGAGGAGGAAGAGGAGGAGGAGGATGAAGAGGAGGAGGAGGAGCGAAGTGCGAAGAGCGAGGAGGAGGAGGAGGAGGAGGAGGAGGAGCAAGGAGAGGAGAACGCCTCGGTCCAGAGACTCCCAAACCAGGGGCATGCTAAGGGTTGAGCTCCCGAAGCCGCGAGAGTGGAAAGCGCCCCCCCCCCCCCTCCCAGCCCCTCCCAGCAAGTCCAAGCGTCTAAGCGATCGGTGTGCGGGTCCAAGCCGACCTCGGACCTGGGTTAACCAAAAGGTACCGATACTGCTACTCCCTAGACCTCACCCGAGGTGCGTTCTGACCAGAATCCAGCGGTGGCGACGAGGGCCGTGAAAGAGGCCCAAGAGTGGACAACTAGGGAAAGTTAGCGGTATCGGGACCTTTTCTTCCTCCTCCGAGGAACCGCGGACGCTAAGCAAAAGTCGGGCGCTGGCGTGGCAACGGGCGCATCAAATACGGGACCCGCCGGCGCTTCCGTGGGAGGCTCTGTCGGAGAAGACGTCGGCGCCTGGGGCTGAGGGCCGAGGCAACGAAGCATCGGCTGCTCACGCTCATGATCATGTTCTCCTCCTCATCCACCTCCTCCTCTTTGTTCTCCTCATCAGCGTCATTATCATCATCATCGTCATCATCATAAACATCATCATCATCAGCAGCACAGCATCATAATCATCATCAGCATAAGCATCATCATCGTCATCATCATCAGCATCATCATTAGCATCATCATCATCATCATACTCATCATCGTCATCGTCATCATCATCATCATCATCATCATCATCATCATCATCATCGTCCTTCTGATCGTCCTCTTCCTCTCCTTCCTCCTCCGCCTCTTCCTCCTCCTCCTCCTCGTCTCGCCTCCTCTTCCTCCTCCTCCGCCTCCTCCTCCTCTTCCTCATCCTCCTCCTCGTCCTCCTCCTCGTCCTCCATAGGGGAACAAACAATGGCACAACATATAACTATCTTGGCGGAAGACCCGATCACATGCAGTTGTGGGTGCCGTGTTGTGGGTCCATCTTTCGACTGGTCTTCCAATGGGGCCACCAAATAGGGATGTAGTGGTTTCCTCTCGACACGGATCCACGCCCGACAGGTTCCCTGTAGGGCCCGGCGCGCTTCCTCTCCCGCACCCCACCACCTACTCCTCCTCCTCCTCCTCCTCTTCCTCCTCCTCCTTCCCTTCTCTTCCTCATCCTCCTCTTCCTCCTCCTCCTCGTCCTCCTCTTCCTCCTCCTCCTCTTCCTCCTCCTCCGGTGTGCCCTGGAGCTCCCCTCGGGGCCACGATCCTCGTGAGGGGTGCACTGACATGGGCACAGCGCCGCCATGCAACCCCTGCCACTGGAGCCTTCTGTGGAGCTCCCTATGGGGCCATGACCCTCCCGAGATGTGTGCCGTATTGATGATGATGATGATGATGATGATGATGATGATGATGATGATGATGATGATGATGATGATGGCAACGATGATGAGGATGATGATGAGGATGATGAAACGGATGATGATGATGATGATGATGATGATGATGATGATGATGATGATGATGCTGATGATGATGATGATGATGATGATGATGATGATGATTATGATGATGATGACAATGATGATCACGATGGTTGACCGTACCTGGTGGGGCGGTCCCGCCTGACTCGATTGAAGAAAAGCGGCGTGCACTGCAGCGGCAACCGCGGCGCGTTGTTGCTGTGCATCATCAATGGTTCCGTGGCCTATTGATGCCGTCAGCTTGTGGTACGTATGGATTAATTGCACACCGAAGCGACTCGCGGAACGGCGACAGATTGCGCAACATGCGATGTTGTATTCGCTGTCGGCTCCGAGGCCAAGTATGAGGTGGGGAGAGGAAGGCAAAGAGAGGAGCTCACGGAGGACGGGGCAGGAGAGGCAGTGGGACATGGAGCCGGTGGCGCCGGTGCAGCCAAACAGACTATTGACCACTCCAGCAACGTGCATGCGGTGGGAGGTCGTCCAACCACCCGGGAGCGTCCTTAGAAACGACCGCTTCCAAGGTGGCTTTTGTAGACGTAGCGTGGCCAAGCCGTCATTCCAGCGCTCCGTCTCTGTGCCGCTGATCGTCTCCAGCAGGCCCCAGGCTCGGAGGCGCTTAGTGCTAGTAATCTCGAATGAACGTGGGTAAGAAGAGGCTCGAAGCGAGAGGGGGAGATTCCGTTGGACCTTCGGCTTGCGCACGCTGTCGAAAGCGACGGCCTGCTCGTGGCGAGCCGCCCGCTGCCCCTCGTCCCAGTGGCGCTTGGAAATCCGTCGTAGCGGTGGCTCACGACAGAGAGACTGTCATTTGCTGGAGAATGCCCTACCCGATCTTCCAGCAGGGCGCGCCCCATGTGCCTTGCAACTCCTCTACGAGGCGGCGCGATTGCATCGCCGTTTCGGACCACTCGTCGAGCTGCTGCTGCCATCCCGTGAGACTGTGATAGACGCATCTCCACAAGCTCGATGCACTCAAGGTAAGAGCGGACGCTGGGGCCACTAAGTTGTGTCTTGAAAGCGAACAGAGGAACGAACACTGTCTTATTTGTTTGCATACTCCAGCGCGCCAATGATTTCGCGCGCTCGGAAACTGGGAAAGACCTTGTCAGATCCGACAGGCGCGGCTGCACCAGCCCTGTATCATCAGCGCATCCTCCCACCACCACCCGACACTCACCGAGAGACGGCGACGAGACCCTCCCCACCAGATGGCACAACATCGGACCCATGGCGATGGCGCAGACAGAGCCTGAGAGGGGACACCCCGGCTTGGAGGTAAAACAAAAACTGTTGGGATCTATGGATCATTGAAAATCCCCGCGGGCCGAAATACAAATAAGCAACAACATTGGTATAACCTGGTGGGTGGCCGAAACTTCCGAGGACTGACCGTAGCCAGCCGTGCCCCAGAGACGGAAGCACTGCGGCTAGATCGAAAGGCGACGAAGATTGGGGCGTTTGCATCTGCGCGTTCGTGGATGTTGGCACCGCAAGCAGCCGTATCGAGCTTCAGGATGCTGCCCCAAGAATGCAGTAGCTGGTACGAAGCCTTGTTGGACGGTGTGCGTCCTTTCCTTGACTAAACATTCAAGCTTGCTATACGCTGCTGATGCCCAGATGTTTGAATCTGAATTCCGTGCAGGGAGAGGGCTCTTCTGCGAGGGGCTCCGAAGGCACTCAAACGCGTCAAGGAGATCACTCCCCCTTGGCAGGAGCGCGAAGAGCGAGTCATTGAGGGGTTCGGGGATGTAGTGGCCAACCATGAGGTGCTGCAGGAGCCTGTGGAGGACTGCGAGCTGAGCCTCAGAGACCATCCAAGCCTCGTAGGGAAGCCTATCAGGATCAAAGGCACTGTGACGAACAAATTTGAGGGTCTGTCGTAGATCTTCCGCACTGGGGACCGCAATGTCGGCCATGCTCCGAGCCGTGTAGTGCCTGTCGAGTCGAGGTGCCTCTGAATCCCCAGCTTGTTTACCAGCTGTGTCCAAAAGACCCTGGACCAGAAAGAGCGGAGCGCCTCTAGGATCTGTGTTGGGTCCCTGCCGATGGCTTCTGGAGGGTCCTCCTGGGCATGCTCGGCACGGATCCCTGCTAGAATTAGACGTCGGCCCGTCGGTCTCCACAACATGGCTCGTTGGCGCAAAGCCTTGGTATGTTTGAAGTCTCCTGATAATGCCGCTTTTGGTCCCCCGTCCGTTGCGCAGCCTGGGCAGCACGAGCGGCACCTATTGAATTGACCTCCAGCTCCGCTGCATGCATCGACCTGAATTGTCTGCGAAATACGTCGTGTGGAAGAAGACGAACGATCCCATCCTGCACAGACAAGTAGCGTTTTCCGTCCTCCCTTGATGAGATGAGATCACTTGCCAAATGTGTATCTTGTCTCCAAACAACCCTTGTGATGCTGCGTAATGTAATGTTGCGGCCCCCGAATGCTCTTTTGCCTCCCGTGCGAAATGGCAGCCGAGCCATCTCATATCGAGTTTGTGTGGCCCCCTCTGGTATAAGATCGTTCATGTTTTTCCAGCGCAAAATCGGAGAAGATGGAAAAGGAGGAGGCCAGTGGGAGACAGCGCGAAAAGCGGCCTTTCAAATGTGGCGCGTCCAGCGCTCCGCCTGGCAACATCCAGCCAGTCTGGACTAAGACGCAGAGGTCCACGGAGGAGGGGGGGGAGGGGGGGGAAGACAACGGACGCAAGGACAGGCGACGGAGAGAAGCGCTCGAGGTCGGCTGCAGCTACCAGCCCACATAATATGTCTTTGTACCTTACGCCGGTGAACGCCAAATCTGAGATGTGCTGGTCATCGGCGTTTGCTGGATGATGATGATGACGATAGTGATGTTGATTATTATGATGGTGATGTTGATGACGGTGGTGATGATGATGGCGGTGGTAGTGATAGTGAGGGTGATGCTTCTGCTGCTGCTGCTGATGATGATTCTGATGATGGTAGTGATGATGATTGCGGCGATGGTGATGGTGAGGGTGATGATGATGCTGCTTATGATGATGCGGATGATGCTGATAGTGGTGATGATGACGATGCGGGTGAGGATGCTGATGCTGCTGATGATGATAATCATGAAGATGGAGATGGAGATGAACATGAGTTTTGACTATGAGAAAGGATGTCAATTATGAAGCTTATGAAAGTGATGGTGAAGATGGTGACGATGATGATGATGATGCTGATGATGAAGGTGGTGGTGGTGATGATGATGATGATGATGATGATTTCGATGATGATGATAATGATGATGATGCTGTCAATGATGACGACGATGATGATGAAGAAGAGCATGATTCTGATTATGATGATTATGATGATGATGATGATGATGATGATGATGATGATGATGATGATGATGATGATAATGATGATGATGGTGCTGAGTGCGGAGGGCAAGGGCAAGGAAAAGAGGAGGAGGAGGGAGGAAAGGAGAGGAGGGGGAGGAGGGACGCGGGGCGATGACTATCCAAAACGAGCACCCAACACCATCGGATGGTGAGGCAAAACTCTGACGTCTCGGCAGATTTCTCGGATCGTCGCTGGAGCCCCCCGGCGGTGCCTCCGGCATCGCCCCTGGTGCGACCCGCGCGCCAAGGAGGGGCTTCCAGCGCCGATCCGAGAATGTGCGCGGACCCCCGGATTGTTATGTTTATGCCAATGTCGCTTCTCATCGACTCTCCAGGACGACCCCAACTTCTTCCCAGCGCTCCCAGATGCCCTCTCCCAGCCCTCTGAACAAAGTAGGCCCTGGGAACGAAATCCAAAAAAACTGCCCTAAACTCCAACCCGACCCGCCCTCAGAAGGCGCCTCCGTCAACCTCGCCAAGTCGTCACAGAACACAAACCACAACTTGCCGTTCATGCCAGCACATTGGTTTGCTGGCGGCTCCTTGCAGTAGGAGAAGTGCCTGAGGTCCCGCCACACACAAGGCCGAGAGGCAAGGACGGTAAGATGCTGGCCGAGCGCGGTGGTTGGAGCTCGCGACACTTGGCGACAG